CCTGCTCAGCCCCAAACCTGCTCAGCGTCCCCCAGGTAACCCAAAACCTGCTCAGCCCCACCTTCCCAGGTAACCCCCCAACCTGCTCAGCTTCCCCTTCCCAGGTAGCCCCAGGTAATTAGGAGCCAAAAGTTCCACATTTGTAAAAAATGTGTGTATGAGAATGGAGGCTCACACGTGATAAGCAGAGTTTGCAACTTAATACGCTCATCAAAAACTGAAGGCAGTGGAATTGTGTGGCATTCTTGTTCTCTGGACAGAGAGACATAATTCTGTCTCTCAGAAACATAGAGAGAAGAAGAGAAAACAACCTTTATCTCTGCTCCTTTCTTTCCCCCATGTAGAATTTAGCATAGAGATCGTTTACCTGAAGTGATGACTTAATTAGATTCTAGTGAAAGTTATTTAGGTTCAATGACCAATCAGATCCAGCTGTGTCTCAGACTCTCAGCAGAGAAGTCAGAGTTTGTGAGTTAAGTAAGAAAGAAGTATGTATGTAAAATAAGATATTCTCTCTTTAAGTAGTATATTAATGTCATGTAGCATAAAGCTATCCTTCAGCCTTCTGATCTGGAGCCAGACATCATCATTTGTTCCCTGAGTCGGGGTCGCCTTTTTTAGGATAGAATTGGTGTTACAATTAACAGAAACCCCCTCAGCAGCTGAGGGCAGCAAGAGCCTTTGCAGAGTTTACAGCCCACTGCAGCACCAGGAACACCAGTCTGACCTGCAGATGGTGCTAAGAGAAAAATGCACCCAAAGAGGTTTTCCACAGCAGTCACTGAAAACATCCTGCATCCCTGACTCTGTTAAACTTCACAATAATGTACGGTTCCCTTTTTGCCCCAGTTTTCCCTGTTTACACCAGAGAAACTGCTCTGTGTGGAAACAGCGGAGAGAAAACCAGTGACTAATACACAAACCAGACATTCCAGGTGCAAAGTGATTTGTTCTAATTGCCACACTAAACAGCAAATTTCACGCATTCAAGCAAGATGTGTCACCCTTCTGAACACCTGATTTTGAAGCTTCGGCCAGAACATTTCATTCCATCAACCTCCAGCGCATTTTTGCCTTACTAATTAAACTGAAGAAGTGCCACCATTAGGAAATGTCACAGAAAAGGGGCATCATTTTCCTACAAAGCCACCTAGGGGCTCAGGCTCCTAAAGCAGAGCCCACCCACGTTTGATCTGACTGGAATATTCCCTCACTTCCCTGGTGCAGATGTTACTGAGGTGGCTCCAAGCAAAGCTCACCTCCTTTCAGGTGCTATGTGCTTTCCAGCCCTTAGGACAGCCCAGTCCCAGTGCCCAGCACGCTGTGCTGCTGGGGAGGGGGGATGGATGCCCTCCCTGCTGGGGACACTCACAGCTGCCTGGGGGCTTTGCTCCGGGCCAGCTGCTGCCCCAGGAAGGTGCCGAAGGCGAAGGCAGGGCGGCCCTGCAGCAGGTAGAAGAGGAAGTCCAAGCTCTCCAGCACGGCGTGCCTGCTCAGCAGCTGGGGGCTGGAGAAGTGGGGCAGCTCGCTCCAGGCATCTGGGGACACAGAGCAGCACTGTCAGGGACACGCTGGGCTCCAGCAGCACCTGGGGTGACAGCCAGGTGTGCTCCTCATTCACCTCCTGGCACTAGAAATCCACACTGAAATCCCACCCCTCGCTGGGAAAGCACAGCTCTGCCCCACCTCGGCTTGCTTGTAAAGGAAACCATTGGTTTGCAAGTTTATATTTAGAGAATTTTCTGATATTTAGCAAAAGCTCTGCCTGTGAAGAGCATTAAAGTGAAAATCTAGAATTCTAGTTCAAAACAGGATTTTAGTAAATTACACTATTTTTCTTGCTTTTTGAGTAAATTTACCTGCTAAGTAATTCCCCTGGAAAGTAACTTATTTTAGGTGCTCAGGCTAGTAAAACAGGTAAACCTTGGCAAGGGACATACCTGACGCAGCAAGAGTGTTTGTTGACTGCCAGCCAAATAATTTCCTGGGATCAAAGGGCATTAATGACTGAAAGATCAGAAACAATATTAATTGAGGCAGCTTAAGAATTTCACGTCACTGTCCTGTAACTCTCAATTTCTAACTCCCTTACAGTTGCAAACATTTAAAAATTTAAATATTGCAATTTCTGCAGGGTTAAACACCTTGCCCACTGAACACTGTGAGAACATCCCTCTCTGACATGCCAGCACTGCAAACTCTCAGGGTGCAGACACCACTTGAAAAAGCAGCTCAGGATGAAGCTGTGAGCTTCAGCTCCACACCAAGGATCCCAAAAAACAACCCCTGGCCCCACCCCCAGCTTTAGCTGCAAACAAACTCCTCTGCCCCCGTGCCCTGCCAAAAGCACTCTGTACCTGCAGAAGGTGGTAGAGAGAGATGTCAGGAGGCAGAATTCCATGAGCAGTGCAGGAGGGAAAGAGAGCAGCCTTGAGCTTGGGGTAAGGGCCCAAGGCCATTTTTAACAGCTGTGGATCAACTTTCTTCAGAGGTTTTTCTGCATCTTCGTTCTGAAGGACCTACATTGGAAGCAAGCAAAATTAATGAGGAGGAAACTGCACTCAATACCAACAAAACAATTTTGGGGTGTGCCGATCTACCCCATGGGAATTTGAGATGCAGAACACAGAAAGTATCATCTTTTTTCCTGTAAAATGCTTTTAAAGTGGTATCAGAGCCATCTTCCCCAGCACTTGGTGTTGCAGGTGACTGTGTTGTGGATAGAGACACTCTGCTCATCCCCCCATTTTTCTGTCACAGCCATGAGTGCAGCACAGGGGAGCAGCAGGACAGGGGATCAGGGGGGACCAGGGGGCATCAGGCAGTACCTGGTCGATGCCCCCAGGCCCATAGACCGTGGTGGCCAGGGCCAGCAGGGTCCTGCCCTCCAGCAGGATGCTGTTCACACCCCCCTGGCTGCTGGGAATCAGCATCTGAGCATTGGCCAGACTCGCCTGGAAAATCATCTTGGGATCTTCAAAGGGAAAAAAGTGACATTTATTTCCATGTAAAAGCAGCATTAAGCCATCAATCACGCATTACAGATGTCCTCTGACTGTGAAAAATGCTGAATTTTCTACTTTTTGCTGTCCATACTGGTTTCCCTCACTTTGTCTATAAACACAGAGAGGATGAGCTAAGGTTTACCAAGCTTTGCCCACACAGATGGACTGGGCTTGAGTCCCACACTTAGTTTAGCACTGGAGTGGGTCAATTCTTTATCCTACACTGACCATGCTTTCTAAAAAAAGCTTCACTTGGGATCAGTTTTGTCTTTTGTTGATATGTGACTGCAGAAGATGAAATGTTTAAAAGTGCAGTGAGTTGGGGGCACAAATTCTACTCAGTAAAGCAAACACACAATCCAAGGGCAGAGAAATCAAAATGCACCACAGGGACTAGAGGAAGGTTTAATTTTAATGGGATGTGTGTTTTCTTATGAATTCTCCTTCTCAACCTGTTGGGAATGTAACTGAACTGGAGGTGAGGATGATTACACACAGAGTGATTCTCACTTCTGTGCAGCCTCCAGATCTTTAAGCACAGTTCAAGCAGGAATTACAATCCAGATTTCAGAGATGAGGAAGTGATGGACAGGGTTTTTTTGCAGCAGAGCAGATGTTTAACCCAGCTGTGCCCAGCCCTGGGCTAGGGCAGGAGCACCAGCCCCCTCTGCAGTGATTCCTACCTCGGGGATTGCTGGCAACCCCCCGGCACTGCACCAGGAACTCAAACCAGGGATGTGCTTCCTGCAGCTCCTTGTTATCCAGGACAGGGCAGTTTGAAGGGGTCAAACTGCAATAAATGAGTAGCAGAGTGAAAATGCAGCATTGGTAACCACTGATGTAACACAGCATTAAAGATTGGAGCATCTCATGGGTGTTGAAGCCAAATACAAGTGGTTGGACAGAAAATCATGTACTGACTTTTTCTGGTCCACTTCTACATCTCTGGTGATTCCAGTGTTAGACTGGAGCTAGAGCCCAGAAATTTTAATTGCCAAGCATCCGTTAAGTGGGAAGTATTCATATAGCTCCAATAGCTAATACTGGTACCACCTTCAAACCCCAACTAACCCTAGATTAGGTGGAAACCAGCAATTTCCTTATCTGTGAACACATCAGGAGTCAACTCACACTTGCGCTCAAGAGAGTTTCTGAATTCTGTAAATTGAGTTTCTGAAGAGCAACTTGTCTTGGCTCATTTAGGATTGTATTGCTTACAGCATTATACTAATTACAGTTGTAATTGTTTCCTTTCATGACTCGCACATAAATTAAGACAGTCTGAATAAAGCTTCAAAATACAGCTTAAAATCTCACACTATCCCAGAGTTTCTGATAAATGACACTGCCAGGGCTGAGGAAAACTGTCCCCACCAAGTGTTCAAATTGTGTTTCCTTCTTTAAATCTGGGACCCCTCGTGGGGTTTGAGGGATGGGAAGCATTCCTACCTGTAATAGTCCAGGTAAGTGTACAGCAGGTACTGCAGGCTGTGCTGCAGGCAGTGCAGGACAAACTGAGCGTGGAAGTCCAGGCCACTGGCAGTGCTGTATTTTGGAACAGGGTGAGGATTCTGCAGGACTCCCCCCAGGCACGACAACCTCTGGAGCAGCAGCTCAAAATCTTCCAGCTCAGAACGGACAAAAATTCCCTTTCTGTCCGAAAAAAAAGCACAGACACTGACCACACAGCTCTCTCTGACAAGTTCTGATGGGTGTTTCCAGCTCAGAATTAGAGCAGACCTTTCCCCCTCAGGGATTAATTCCCTACTGAGGCAAACACAGCGTGCCCAAATCCATCTGCCCGTGCTCCAACAACACTGTGGTTACTGCAGGCCACTGCCCAGAGCGAGCTGAGAGCACTGAAATGCTCAGCATTTCCTCCCTGGCACTAAGGTGGGCACAGCAGGAATACAGCCCCTGGGAAACAGCCAAGGGCTGAGGGAGGAGTGCTCCTGCTCTCGTGACTCTTACTGTTTTTGGATAACCAGAAGTAGGAGACCAAAATCACATTTACCAACGGATTCATGCTGTTTCCAAAAAGAGCAGTATAAAAATCAATATGCACCGAGGATTTTATGTCTGATTTTGGTTTCACACAGGAAGGAGAGCGTGAAGCCTTGGGGGCCCTACCTGGCCAGCTTGTTGAGGATGTCCTGTCTCATGTAGGGGCTGCACAGAGTGCTCCTGTCCACGATGTCAGGGCTCAGGGGGGGCCAGGCAGCCGGGTCTCGTGGAGCCTGGCTGGGCTCTGACTCCTCAATCCAGGAGCAAACACTCAGCCAGTCGTGCTGGGCTGTCAGGTGCATCCAGAGCACCTCAGGACTGCAGCTCTTGAGTTCTGCGTTTCAAAAAGGCAAACGGATGAAGCCTGCACACACAAACACTGCTGAGGGAAATACTGGTATTTTCTTACACGGAATTGTGGATTGGTTTGGGCTGGGAGCTTAAAGAGCATCCAGTTCCTTGGGCAGGGACACCTCCCACTGTCCCAGGCTGCTCCAAGTCCATCCAGCATGGATTTGGGCACTGCCAGGGATCAGGGACAGCCCCAGCTGCTCCGGGCACCTGTGCCAGGGCCTGCCCACCCTCCCTGGGAACAATTCCCAATTCCCAATATCCCACCAGCCCTGCCCGCTGGCAGTGGGAGCCATTCCCTGGCTCCTGTCCCTCCAGGTACCTGTATTTAATGAACACTTGCCAATAGGATGGTGAGATCAAGGGGATCACTCCAGCTTTTGGAGCCTCGCGTTGGCAGAGCTGGCAGCAGCTCCCCAGGGCAGGGGATGGGACAGGGGATGGGACAGGATGTGGCAGAGGGTGGCATTCACATGAGCCAAGTCCCTTCCAGCCACTTCCAAACCCCTCTCCACGGGAAGAGCCCAGCCCCAGGATGGAACAGGGTGGAGCCCACGGTCACCCAGCTGGAGTGACAAACACGGTGACCCCGTGGCTGTGCCCACGCCACTCCCACAGAGCCCAGTGGCCAGCTGAGCCCCCGGGGGCACAGTACTTGCCTTGTCGTGCTCTCCGGGGCAGCAGAAGCAGCTCCTGCAGCAGCTGGTCCCAGCACAGAGCCCAGCTGAGGGTCAGGGTGAGCCGGGGGGCGGCGGGGCTGCCCCAGCCCAGCTGCGAGCCCAGCAC